AACTATCGGTTAAATAGTAGAACTTGTACCTGAAAATATAGTTTTTCAAAAATATGTTTCGACTTTAAATAAACCACAAATGGTTGATAAATCGTAAAAAAATCAATCAATCAATCAATCCTACTTAATATGTAGGTTTCTCGGTCAGAAAGCTTAAATGATTTCAACTCACAATGGTTGGCTATCAAGTGTTTCTCGTTAGAAAAACGTAATAGTCGTAGGTACAAATAAATCTAATAATGGCATAGATATTTATCTACAAGTTATTTTCTTATGACTATAGGTGTGTGGGTGTATGTGTGTATGTGCGTGTGCGTGTGTATGTGTGTTTGAGCATTGGAATGAGTCTGGTTATGTAATTATGTGGTCTTACACCTGTACACTCACTTGAGTGCTAGTATGACGACTTCGTTTCGTGATAATTGAACTTATAAAAACAGGCCAAAACAAAGCAAAAAAAAAAAAAAAAAAAGAAAAGAAAATACTGTACAGAAAGTTGCGTGGAAATCAGAGTTTTCCTTCTCTTAGATTGGTTGCCGCCTAAAGATAGAGAGCCCTGTCTACATTGCTATTGAACCCCTTGATGCGGATTCATGATTTCCCAAGAACATTAACACGAAAGTGAACGCAGCAGACTAAACCGTGGTTTGAACTCGACTGCGCCGATTTCACTTTCCCCGCCGATAGCTGTTTCACCACCCGCACATCTAAAAACACGATGCTCACCTTTCAAAGTCTCGGTTTTCACCCGCATTTAAACACTGTCTATAGCTTACAAACTAAATAACACAACTATCTCAACCACCAAGCATATTACTTGATGGATATTTAAAAAAAAATTGACTTAGTTTGGTGCAAGGTTTAAATTAGAGGAGCACCATCTGAGAACAGAAATCACAAGACTACTTTGATAATCATCTCGTACTGACGGCGAGGCCTAGAATAAAACGATTGCATACCGCTAATAAAGGTAAGATCAAATCTCAAAAAATAGGGCAACCTACCATTTGTAAACTCAAATATAAATGACCAAGATTTACTTATCCTCGAAATAAGTAAAGGCTTATAGACTCGAATTATAACGAATAATATATACTTATCCCGGAACCAAATAAATGCTTATGGACTCGAATATAAATGACCAATATTTACCTACCAACGAAACAAGGTAATTCTAATAGACTTAATAGTAACGGACTGCGGCTACGATTGAGGAATCGGAGAGCCGAGTTCGAATTCCAGTCGAATCCATTACATTCACTTACGGACTAATACCCTTGGGAAAGGTATGAATCCTCTTCTTCTAGCTCCAGCTATGGGTAAATAGCAGGACAGACTGGGTTCTATAGCCTTGGATGACAACTCGTCTACCGCAGAAAGAAATGTCAACCTACTGCGGCAAAAAAATCTGCCTCCCCAATGATGTATCAAAAGATACATGATTGCCTAAACGTGTATCACGTATGGCACATAACTGATTGATTGTTTAATAAATAAATGGAGCATCTACTCAAAGATGAGTATTCATTAAAAATAACGTTTAAAGTGATAAAAACATTTATCAATCGAACTGTTTTATGTTTATTAAAGCTTCATCAGAAACTATCCTTATGGAGAAAAACAAGAAAGAAATTCTGGTATTTTTACTTGTGTTAATTTATTTTCATTGTTTAACATATAATATAAGTTAAAAACTTATGGACTCTAATATAAACAACCAATATTTACCTACCAACGAAACAAGGTAATTCTAATAGACTTAATATTTAATAGTAATGGATTGAGGCTAGGATTGAGGAATCGGAGAGCCGAGTTCGAATTCCAGTCGAGTCCATTACATTCAGGTATATAGTAGGACAGATTGGGTTCTATGGCTTTGGGTAGCAACCGGTTTAGGAGAAGGAAAATTCTGAATTCTAAAGAGTATGTAGCCCAGGGAAAGCACAAAGAATGCAGCTAAAAAATGGGTCGTTCGCATTGCCTCAATGATCCAGACTACTGTTGACTCGTAATATTTACTTATCTCCTGATTAAGTAAATACTTATAGACTGAAAAATGACTGATTTCATCATTAAATAAGCCAACAATAGTTGATATATCACAAAATCAACTAACCCCACTCGATAACCATCATTCCACATTTTACGCATTGAATAGGTTGATAGGTTTCAGTAGAATCATAATAGTCGAGATAAAATATAAAAAAAAATAACAATGCTGTTTTATGATCGTCCAATGGCTTGTTTAGAAAGTCAATTCGCTAGTGTATTAGTGTATCAAAGAGGATATAAATCCTTTTACATGTCAAAGAATAATGGACAGTTTCCTCGCAGATGAAGACTTGAAACAACAGATTTATATTTTTACATAAAGATGTTGGGAATAACATGAACGAAGCAATGAGGAAGTTTTAAGAAAAATGGCAACAAAAAGGACACAAATTTAATTCCTAAGCAAAATCAGACTGCATGAATGTGAAATTATTACATCAGCAGGAAAATTTCATTGAAAACAAAGAAAAAAGATTGTTTTTAGCTGATTGTTTTTACGGCTTATCAAACTTTAGCAGATTATTCAAAGCCAGAAAATACTTTTAGATTGTAAGAATTTTTGGAGATAATAATGATTTACTGCTGCATCCTACTATTTAACCCATACCTGGAGAACAAGATGTGGATTCACACCTTTGCCAAGGGTATTTGCACGTAAGTGAATATAACAAACCCAACTGGAATTGGAACTCAGCTCTACGGTTTCCAATTCTGAGCCGTTAACCATTACACCACCCGCGCATCCAAGCTTACAGCAACTGGTATTTCTAAGCGGTCACCCATCATACTGACCAAACTCAACGTTGCTCAACTTCGGGGATCATACAAGGAAAGAAAAAGAGTACTGAATAGATATGTAATATCAATCCTATTATATGGCAATGAATACTGGATAATTTCATCATTGATGAAGAGGAGACTTGAGGCAACAGAAATGTGGTTTTACAGAAGGATGATGAGAATACCATGGACGGAATTAAAATTTAGAATCAAAAAGAGATAGTTAAAAATTCTAGGATACTTAATGAGGAAAGAAGGTTTGGATAATTTGACACTCACATTAATTAGTGAAAGTAAGAGAGGCAGAGGAAAACAGCGAGCATCGTTCCTCCTGCTTGGAGCTACAAAAGATAGGAAGTTGTGAAGAGCCATGACCGCCCATCGGCACATAAAAGAAGTAAATATGAGTTCCACTTAATGCCTTCTCGTAGTAGCTATGTCCGACTATACTAAGTAAATCACAAAGTGTCTATTACAGAGTTATGAGAAGCAGTTTTTTTCTCATGCGGTAATTACCAGTGCACCAAGTTTAGTCTTCTCTGGAATCCCAGTGCTGTGTCCTTGTGCCAAACTAGGTCATTTTTAATAAATATCTGAAGATGCTGCAAGAACACGCTGCTGTCGTAACGGTTACCGGAGCAGAAAGTGAAATCGGCGGACCGAGTTCAAATTCCAGTCTAGTCAGTAACATTCACTTAGCAGGAATGACTTGAAAACGATATGAATCCATTTCTTCCCCTCCCCACTTTACCTATGGATTAAATAGCAAAGTAGACTGAGTTCTCTAGCCTTAGGTGGCAGCCAGTCTAGGAGAAAAACAATTCTGAATTCAAAACTGAGGAGAAAGTAAATAAAAAAACACACAAAATTCATGACAGTTCACAAATGATAATGAAATGAAATGTGTATGTCCTGAAGGGAGAAGGCAATATTATCTTTCCAAAAATTAATTTCAGGGGTATTAAAAAAAGGAAGATGTGGAGAGCTGTGAACGTCTACATCCTGAATAGAATTTTCATTAAAAAAAACAATGGTTAGAAAGCCATACTCTGTTCTAAGTGAAACTTAGTTAATATCACTAGACAAGACAAAGTACCTACTCGTCTCGCAGGTCATTTCGCTAGTGTAGTTAACTTTATCTCATTACCGATTGTCCAAGCCTAGCATACTAAACTAAGCTTAATAAATATCACTCACATACCTACGTTATTTTGGGATATCACTCTTCTATATATATGAGATATAATCCTATACACAGATACAGATATTCAGTATTTCAATGCCTACACAAAGAAACATCAAAAAAACGATTCACTCACGCATACTCAATCGAGCAAACATCTGGATTAAGCACATATGTACGTGTCCCTGTTACCCTGGATTAGATAGAAGATAAGGGTATAAGATGGTCACATAGAGGAAAGTTTGCTTTTATCTGTCACCGCTCCATCTATGGGGGCACGTTACCTGCTTTTCGACCGATATCTAAAGAGCATAAAAAACGCTCGCTCACACACGACAAAGAACACAAGAGAATATAAAAGAGGTTAGATGTAGTAATAGAATTACCATTTGTCGGATGCTTCAAAGAGTCAGAACAAGCATAACGTAATTTACATCATAATGTCCCGACTGACTAAGAGTTTAGGCATCGCAGTTTGGGGGTATATTTATAAAACTATGCGCAGAGATACACACGCCTACAAATGCTTGGTTTCTTTTATGACATTCTACCTTCTTGTTTGCGTATTGCTATGATTGTTCTTGGGATTGAGCGTGAAGTGGTTTCCTTTGGCTTTCCCTGCGGTGTTTTCTAGTGAGACACCCACTCGACTTACCTAGCCGTTGATTCATCAAGAGGTCTTCCGCCCTTTGATAGGTCTTATTTTTCATCCTACAGGGTCGGAAACAAAAAGGTCACTTACACTCAGAATCAGAAAAACAGCTGAAATTCCTGGGCCATATAATGGGGCATGAGGGCTTGGAAAATTTGGCAATCACAGCAAATAGAAGAAAAAGAAGAACCCGCACGTTTATTATCTTTTTTTTTTTTTTTTTCTTAATCAGCGGCTAAAAGTTTACCTTTGTCGAATCCAGATTAAGATCTTGATTTCGAATATCGATTTTCTGACTGAAAAAAACCGCTATTCCTCGGAAGATTGCATCACGTTGAAACGCCGGTTACCCCACGATCACCGAAGTTAAGCAATGTCGAGCCGAGTCAGTACCTAGATAAGCGACAGCTTGGGAATGACAGGTGCTGTAAGCTTGGATATGCAGTTGGTGTAATGGATAATAGCTCGGAATTGTTAATCGGCGACGCGAGATCCAATTCCTGTTAGGTTCGTTATATTCCCTTACACGCAAATACCCTTGGGAAAGGTATGAATATACCTCTTCTCCCCAGCTATGGGTTAATTAGTAAGACCTGTATCACTAAACCATTATTATCCGAAAAACATTCTTACAATCTAAAAATATTTCTAGTTTAAAATAACCTGCAAAGGGTTAATAAGCCGTAGAAAACGAATCAAGCAACCAATCAAAACAAGTACTATACTGCATTATCACATTGAAACACCGGTTCTCGTCCGACCAAGTTAAGCAACGTTGAGACTGGTCCGTACCTAGATGGGTGACCGCTTGGAAATACCAGGTGCTGTAAACTTGGATGCGCGTGTGGTGTAATGGATAATGACTCTGAATTGGAAATCAGAAAGTCGTGTTTGTTATATTAACTTATACGCAAATACCTTTGGCAAAGGTATGAATCCACCTCTTCTCCCCAAGCTATGGGTTAATTAGTAGGACTTGTATCAGTAAATCATTATTATCTCTCCGAAATTCTAACAATCTAAAATTAGTTTATGGCTTTAAATAACCTGCAAATAAGCCGTAAAAAACAACCAATCAATCAATCGACACAAGTAGCTAGTGTATAAAAGGCCGAGTTCCAAATGAGGCGGTGGCAAATTATCAAATGCATTACAGCAGACGCTGAGTTTTCTGTAGACACGATTTGCAATCTCAATGAGGATCCATACTCTGAATGTCTATTCAAACAAAAGTAAATCATTCTAGATCTCAAGTGAAACTCATATATACAACCATCGCTAAAAATTCTGGAAAAATAATCGTTTTACTAAATCAGTTCAGAAAGTATTTGACTTTCTATCATATTTTATCTTTAAAAGGGCCAGATTGGGCTAAAATGGGCTGAAGTTACTCAATTTTTCCATTCCCGTTTTGATAGCGTTCAAAATTGTTTACGCGGTTTTGTGGGGGGGGGCTGATATATTTTCCAGTTTGCCACCACTATTCCGCAGATACAATATTGCAGTCTTATGAGCTACTCTGTCGCTATTTCCATGGCAAATGTTCAGAGGAATCCGAGCACAACCAGAAAAGTAAAACAATCAAATGTTCAGATGAGCTCTATTCACTAGTTCCACCATTTCAAACCTTTACTCGTCATGTTACTTCCAAGGAGTTGAATCACCTTTACTTTTTCAGTGTTCCAAATGCAAGAAGAAAGTTCTACTCAGACAGTTTTTTCTTCCCAAGAACTGCTACTTTACGGAACAGATTCCCGCTTGAGTGCTTCCTTCAACACCTTAATTTTGACCTTTTCAAGTCAGAGGTCAATTGTTATCTGCCCTCCTTATCCTCATAATCTCTACTCCCGATCAGCTTCTCTAACACTCATATCTCACAACTCATTAATCATTAGAGTTACAACTGTGAATCTCTATCTTGAGTGGCTCTTGAGCCTTGTATTAGGTTTCATGTGAAATTATTGTTTGTACGTCTTATGGATAAAACGGTTATAAATTAAATTTCGGCGCAAGTAGCTAGTGTTCGAGTGTGTAAAAGGATCGTGATTTAATTGTTCCAAACGAGGTGGTGAAGAATTAACAAATATACTGCAACATAGTGATGACTAAATGAACGAAGAAAACATTTTCAAATTCGTAAAGAATCAACAAATCTGCAACCAGAAGAAAAGACAATCCATTCGCAACCAGGAGAAATGAAAGCAAATCCGTGAGCAACCAGGAGTAATGAAAGCAAATCCGTGAGCAACCAGGAGTAATGAAAGCAAATCCGTGAGCAACCAGGAGTAATGAAAGCAAATCTGTGATCACAGTATGTAAATCCCACTTTTATTTCTATGTGCATTAGCAGTAACAAAAAAATTCTTTTAACACCTAATTTCACTATAACCTTCGAAGAAGTCTCAATAAGTACTTGATCTCAAAGAGTAACCGTAAAAATCCTTACTAGATTCACTTCGTGCTACATTCACATACACTGTTCAAATTAACCAAATTTTAGAGTAGCATCTGGTATATACAAAAATAATATAGTAATATTACTACTGTAGTACTATAGATTCTTTATGGAAATATCGTAGTACCATCGATAAAATTAGTAATAATTTAGATGGATATTGAAAATTGATGACCCAAGACACTAGGAATGTAATGTCAAATTATTAGAGACAACAAATCCGAAATGATTCAAAAAAAAGCATATCCAACAAGAAGATAAAAAAAGCCCTACGCAACCACAATAAAAAAGAAAACTCCCGTGCACAAAACTGAAGTGAAAAAGACGGTGTACATTCAGAAAACAGAGAGAAAAATCCGTACGTAACTAAAAGAAAGCAAACAACATCCTCACGCAACCAAAAAAAAAACAATCTGTGCATAACCAGAAAAAGTGAAAAAAAAACAAAAACAATGAGCAACCAGAAGAAAACAGAAAAAAATCCGTGTGCAAAAAAAGAGAAAAAGTAAAACAATCTGTGCGCAAACCAACGAAAAGTAAGAAAATCCGTTCGCAACCTGGAGAAAAGAGACCAATTCCGTTCGCAATCAGAAGAAAACAGAAAACATCTGAGAGCAGCAAAAAAAAATGAAAAAAAAAATCGATCGCAACCAGAAAAGTAAAACAATCTGTACGCAAACTGACGAAAAGTAAGAAAATCCGTTTGTAACCTGGAGAAAAGAGAAAAAACCCGTTTGTAACCTGGAGAAAAGAGAAAAAATCTGTTCGCAACCAGAAAAAGAAAAAATCTGTGTGCAGCAAAAAAAAAAAAAAAGAAAAATCCGAACTTAACAAGGAAAATAAAACAATATTTACTAAACCGAAGAAAAGAAAGAAAATCTGTTTGTAACCTGAAAAAAAGAGAAAAAAAAATCTGTTCACAACCAAGTTCCTCATTTTTAGCTTTGACATCCTGCGTGAGACGATTCTGCAACTGGTGGCTATGAGATAACAATCCAGATCGAACCCACTGATGCACCTGGTTTTTCTGTTGCTCTAATGTGTCACTGAGTGCAAAACATACTTTGTTAACTCTTAAGGTGGGACCAGTACATACTGTGATCCCAGATCAATTTCTCTCAGAAGAAAAGTTCCTTATTGACATTAAATTTGATTCGGACCATCTGGTATTTCCTGACATGAATCATATGCTATATATCTATATTGCGTTCACTGCAAGCCGCGTAACAAAATTTGTTTACCCGAACAATAATTGTTTTGATTTTGCTACTTCTGATAGAGAGCATAGACTTATCTGGTGTAATTTTATAATTACTGATATTAACGGGGTGTGAGTACAGTCTTAAAATAGTCTTTCAATGTTTGTTGTCAAGACGCTCTACAAATTCCTTTTTCTTGCTCTAAGTAAATGATGCTCCCTTTACCAGGCTTTGTCCTTGTATTAGTTGCACTACTGTTCACCGCCCCCTTGCATCTCTAGCCTTGTGAGTATTACATTCTCAAAGCCTTCATTCCTCATCATGTGCCCCAAAAATGTAAACTCTCTTTTTCTGGCTGTTAGCAGCGGTTTCTTTGTCGTTCCTATTCCTTTTAAAACTTACTCGTTACCCCCATCCTCGACATACGCCAGTAGAATCACTTCTCGGTCGCTTTAGCCTATTCTTCAATTGTGAGGAAATTGTCGAGTATATATAAGATTAGATATTAGATAGCAGTTAAATATGTTAGAACAAAAAACTATAATCAAAATGGTTAAATATTTAAGTGAAAACTGATAAGCCTAATTGGTTGCCGCAACAATTGTGATATAAGTACATGTTTTTGTTGAAAGGATAATGGTTGAGATTATTGTGATAATTAGATGCAAACGGGCAGGTCACTGCCCTCATTGTCGATTCGTGAACATTTACATGAAATTCCGTGACGTATACGCATAAATATTGTTACCCAATGATTTAACCAATCAAACTGCTTGACAGTCACTTTATTTTATCATTATCTGTATGAATCGCATTACCAAGGCTAATAAAAAACAAGCCCAGAATCTGTACAACCTGATAACGTGTGTTAGCGAGTACAACACACAATGAAAGTTACCAGGAAAAAAAACTGCAATACATACTATAAACAACAGTAAACAAAACAACCACATCTTACAAACAACTAAATTTAATGATACAAAACATGGTACATAAATGAAGTAATGGTTGAATGATGATGCAATGATGGCTTCAAAGCGTTGACACACACATCACATGATCTGTATTGATATTGGACATTACTCGAGTAATGGTGGCTTTCAAGGAATCAGTTGTATTGTGGGGAAAGTTGGTTAGTCTCCCGTTCAACAACGCCCCACATAATCAAGGTGATTTAGGTCCGGCGAATTAGGTGTCTACAAGTTTGGTGTGATGTGGTCGGGCAGATTGGCCGCTATCCAATCTTGGGTCACTACAGCTTTGTGAGTCCTGTTGAAATACATATGGCTTTCCATCACATAAAACGTCTATCTCGGGCTTCACATCTGTTTCCAGTTCATCAGTGTAGCCAGCAGTATTCACCCGAAGACTCTGTTGAAAGAAATGGGGTAGTATAATGAATCCTTTGCTACTCACCACCCCTAAAACCATCATCACAGAAGAGAGAAACTTGGTATGCATAACTGTTATGGTAATTTACCCACGCACGCAAGGACTCTCCCTGCTATAAATAGGAGCAGGTACTGCCTTTTGAAGAGGGGAGTTTCCAGCAGTCAGCTCTGACAGTCGGACTGAACATTCTTGCTGTAACACTCTCGTTTGTATATGTTTGTATTACTGTTTCTGTTAATATATTTGTTTAACTCAATTCCTCTCTGTATCTATTTCTAACCTTAACAAGGCCACGACAATAACATAAAAGACATCAAAAGGATCCGCACACAACCACCTGTCATTTCTCCAGTTCACCTTTTGATATAGTTGAAACAGTGAACGGCAGGTCTTCTGGATATTTCAACTTGTTCAATAACCGTTTTGCTCGGAGCAACCATTGATTGTGTGTGTGTGTGTGTGTGTGTGTGTGTGTGTGTGTGTGTGTGTGTGTGTGTGTGTGTGTGTGCTGACATGAACTGTACTTTCCTTTTCACGTATGACTTTTACCGAATGTACACATTGTGGATTGTTCCCCCGGACGCATGGAGATTTCTGACAATGGAGATTCGCATCAGTAATGTTCCGAACCTGTTGTATGAATTGTATTGTCCTGAAACAATCCGAACGATGTGAATGCTTTTTGCGCTTATATACAGTCGGCACATCCCCGCTGGAGGCTTCCAACTCCTTCCGAACTTTGTGCACAAACGGCTTGTCAACTTAAAAAAAAAAAAGTACAATT